TATTTCTCTCTCTATATATATATTTCTCTTTCTCTATCCTACCCACCTACCTACACACTCACTCTGCCTACCTACCTACTGTATTTCTCTCTCTATATATATATTTCTCTTTCTCTATCCTACCCACCTACCTACACACTCACTCTGCCTACCTACCTACTGTATTTCTCTCTCTCTCTCTCTCCCTTTATCTACCTACCTACCTACCTACCTAACTACTCTCTCTCTCCCTACCTATCTACTGCATTTCTCTCTCTCTATCTTTCTATTTATCTATCTATCTATCTATCTATCTATCTATCTATCTATCTATCTATCTATCTATCTATCTATATCCCTAACTTCTCTCTCTCTCCCTATCTCCCTACTGTATTTCTCTCTCTCTTCCTGTCTATCCCTCTATCTACCTACCTACTTTTTTTAAAAAAAAAATGCCTCTTCAAAACCTTGGTGCGTCTTATACTCCGGTGCATCTTATACTCCAAAAAATACAGTAGCTTCAAAACCTCAGTTTTGAACATGGCATAAGAGCTCCATAACAATTTTGGCAGCAGCATATTCACCTTTATGTGAGGTGTGCAGCATGTAAGTTTACTATATATATAAATAATAAATATTTCCAACATTAAACCAAACATAATAATAAGTACAATAGTAATAATAATGTGGTAGGTTTTAAAATAAATATTTCAATTTCCCCCAATCTTCTTGTCCCAGGAGGTCTTGGGGATGAGCTGGCTGAAATAACCACAAGATTTGGTGCAGGACAAAATCCTTTTGCAATGACATGAAGTACCAGAAAGAAGCTCAGTGACAGCCTGGGAAATAAATACAGAGCCAGTGTTCCACTTCTCAGACACATCGCCTGCATGGTAGCACTTGTTGCTAGTGAGCATGTCCTTCCCCATCCAGACAATTAGAGGAGTCGAATCTTCTGGAAGGCAGCAAAGGACATGATGCTGCAGAGCAGGCTGGGTCTTGCAGAATGGATGTCTTCTCTATACGCAAGCAGGAAAGAGTCCTCAGTATGGAGAGGGAAGGGCTCTTGGGCAATGGTGGTGTGAGAAAGGGGAACAATAAACATGGATGGGTATAGAGGTGTGCCTTTTTTCATCTGAAAAATGTTGGTGTAAGATGAGTCTATGTAAGGACAAAAAACCTTGATGTAAATATTGGTTTAGGCAGGATCCATCCTCATTTTCAGTAGCTTGGCTCCTCTTTAGCCATTGGCTGTTGCAAAAAGATTTGTGCAAGATATATTTTACTCTTGCATTATGTTGCTGATGTCCCCAACCAAGGTGATTTCAATGTTCAGATTCCAGGTGGGCACATGCCAAGCAGATGACAGAGGAGCGCCAGCAGAAGCTAGAAAAATCAGCCAATGAACTGGCAAGTTTCCAGGAAGCAGAAGGCCAGCTGAGGCCCTGGCTGATGGAGAAGGAGCTTATGATGAGTGTGCTGGGACCACTCTCCATTGATCCTAATATGCTGACTGCCCAAAAACAGCAGGTTCAGGTGAGTAGAGCAAAAGTCTTGGTTTCTGTCTTTTTGTGTGTTTGGACTGAGTGCAGAGTGTGGATGGAGTTGGGGGCTGAGGAGGATGCATGGCCAATCAAAGCACTTCCAATTTCACTTCAAGCCCTGATTGAGGAGAGATCTCATTTACAGATGCCTGCTTTATTTAACATCTTGCTCATATTTAATTTGTCTCCATCCTTTTTTGGAAGAAATCATATTGCTAAAAGGTCCGTAGCCAGTCAACCAAGAGGGGTGGGGGGGGGGGGGTCTTCATGATACGCTTTCTGCCACTTGTTTATATTCTGGAGTAGCAGCAGGACAAATGAGGCAGTGTACTGGAATGCCATCGTCCTCCCCAGCATTTTTGAAAATCTGAACTGTATTAAAAGCTCAACCTCTGCAGTTTCTGTGCAAAGCTTCCAGAAACTCCATGTTCAGATGCTTTAGAGTTGCCAAATGTGCTTTTAGCTCTGTCGTCGGCCAGTTTAAACTCCTACTTTTTATGACTAACTTGTTTGGCTCTTAATTGATTTGTTAGTTAGTGTTATATATGTTTTACACCTCATTAAATGTTCCTTCTGATTGAAGATGGAGATGCTTTAGTTAATTAAAGATATAAATATTGCCACTTGTTGCTTCAATCCTGAAGGTTCTTGGAAGAAGATGTTCCTTGGGCCTGTTATGTATTTGGCTCTCAAGTATGGTCTTCCTCAATGGGTTGTTTCCCATTCCACCAAGTCCTGTTCATGTAGCTGGAATTGCTTCTTTGGTCACGGTAGTTGGAAAATAGGAGGTTGCAATCCAACACATTGTGGAAGACATATTGAGTGATTCCTAGGGCATCCTCCTAATTGTCCATACCCTAACAGCAGTACACAATCAAGGAACCAATATTCACATGGAATGTCAATAATGAGGATGAATAATGGGAAAAATGGGATTCATTTATGAAATCCTAGGAGTTAGAGAAATAGACTCCAGTCGTCACTTATTACTGATCACACTAAGATGAAATCTCTGTGAATTTGGGGACTTCTTTTTCACGGATTCCCTAATGGTGGGATTGATGTGACATTAGAGAGATAAGGCTGAAGTCCCTGTTTCCTCCTCATGTGCAGTCTTTTGAAAACCTCCCCTGCCCAGGCTCCAAGAATTTCCTTGCCCACCTTTCAGAAAGCAAGAGCTCTCACTAGAATGCTTTTCAGAATCCTTTGCAATGCGTGGGAGTTCATTTTCATGTTAATCCATATAAAGATGAATCCCCAAGAGCAGAATGCTTGAAAACCACCAATTTATTTTACAGAAAAGGCATCATAATTATTGTAGTGGAATTTGGGAAGACAGTGTGTTTGTGGCTGTCTTTGTGTGTTTCTGAGATCTTAAAATGGTGACTCCCACTATAGTGAGGCTAATAGCACCCATCCTTTCCTTCTCCCTTCATCCTTAACTTTTGTAATTGAATCCCCCTAGTCTGTCACATACATATTTGTGTTGCAGTTCATGCTGAAGGAATTTGAAGCTCGGAAGCACCAGTATGACCAGCTGAATGATGCAGCCCGGGGAATCCCCACCAGCCCTGGTGAAAAGTCTCCATCCCACAGCCATGTGCAGGAGGAGCTCCAGGCTATCAACAGAAAGTGGACCAGCCTCATGGAACGTCTCAACTCTCGTTCCAGTCAAATCGACCAGGCTGTGGTCAAGAGCACCCAGTTCCAAGAGCTGCTCCAGGGATTGTCTGAGAAAGTGAAAGCTGCTGGACAGCGCCTGAGCACCCAGCCTGCCATCAGCACCCAACCAGAGGCTGTGAAGCAGCAGCTGGAGGAAACCAGTGAAATCCGGTCTGAGCTGGAGCAGCTGGAAGAGGAGATCACAGAGGCTCAAGCCCTGTGCGAGCAGCTCTCGGGTCTCATTGGAGAGCAATACCTTAAAGATGAACTCAGGAAGCGCCTGGAAACTGTCGCCTTGCCTCTCAAGGGGCTAGAGGATTTAGCAGGTACAATGTTCACACGTTTTGAACTGAACGGTACCATTTAATTGAGATGTAGACTCAAAGAGTAAGAAGTTGTAGGAAGATGATAGTGTGCAGTTGGACCCAGGAGCTTCTAATGTACACATTTAGGTGACATTAAAATCAGCAGGGCCATTAGCCCACGTCAAGCCATTGTGAATATTCTCCTAGGAAGAAACCTGTAGATCATGTCAATGCTGTAAATCTAGTGCCCAAACACTCTGATGTGTATGGTGGTCCAGGAGACAATGCTGGTTCTTTTTTTCTTTTAGTCTCACAAAGAAAGAAAACTACACAAGTCAAAACCGAACCCCATTATGGTTCGATATGCTTTATAGAGAGGGAAAGAGAGAAAATTCTCACTTCTCCAGGATTGCTCACCCACACAATGAGTAATGTTACATCTCCCCAAAGATAGTGACTGGTACAGCATGTCCTAGAATTCCCATAGCTGAATCCCATAGCTGACTACCAGAAAAAAATAGAGTGGCAGCACAGCACAGCCCGTGTCAAATGCTTCTATTTCCTAGAGTAGCTTGCTTCAAATGTGTATAATATTTTCCCCTGGGACAAGTTTAAAGACTGGTGTTTGAGTTTGTGTTGTGAAGTATATTTTCAGCCATGCATCCCTTCCCATTTCTAGGTGACCGACTGAATCACTTGCAGACGGCACTCGCCAACTCCCAGCAATTCCAGCAGATGTTTGATGAGCTCCACACTTGGCTAGAGGACAGGCTGAAGCAGCAGGCACAGAGTGGGCCAATCTCAGCCAAGCTGGAGAGGCTGCAGTTTCAGATTCAAGAGCAGGAAGAGTCCCAAAAGAGCCTAAACCAACATAGTGGCTCCTATGAAATGATCATGGCAGAGGAGGAATCTTTGCTCCTCTCTGCTCAACCTGGAGAAGAGAAGGCAACCTTGCAAAGCCAACTGGTTAGCTTGAAAGCAAACTGGGAGGAGCTGAGCAAACAAATTGCCAGTCGGCACTCCAAACTTAAGGACTGCTTACAGAAGGCCCAGAAATACCAGCGCCATGTGGAAGACCTTTTCCCTTGGGTGGAGGATTGTAGGTCAAAGATGTCAGAGTTAGAAGTCACTCTGGATCTCGTACAACTGGAAGCTGCTCTTCTAAGGTCAAAGGCCATGTTGAGTGATGTAGCAAAACGGCGCTCCCTTCTAGAGATGCTGAATAGTGCTGCTGACATCCTTATTGATGCATCAGAAATAGATGAAGATGACATTAGAGATGAGAAAGCAGAGATCAACCAGAAGATGGATGCTATAACAGAGGAGCTCCAAGCCAAGACCGAGTCCCTTGAAGAGATGTCTCAAAGGCTCAAGGAGTTCCAAGAAAGTTTTAGGAACATTGAAAAGAAACTAGAAGGGACAAAACATCAGCTGGAGATCTATGAAGCTCTTGGCCCTCAGGCCTGTAGTAGTAAAAATTTGGAAAAACTGAGAGCTCAACAAGAGGCTCTTCAGACCCTGGAAGCCCAAGTGGATTACCTCAGGAATTTTACTCAGGGTCTCGTGGAAGATACTCCAGATGGATCAGACTCTTCCCATCTCTTACACCAAGCTGAAATTGTCCAGCAAGATTTCAAGGGGGTGAAGCAAAAAGTCAATGAATGTTGTAAAATCATGGAAAGCAAGCTTGAAGGAATAGGACTATTTAATAATCGTGTTCGGGAAATGTTTTCTCAACTGACTGACCTAGATGATGAGTTGGATAGCATGGGCCCTGTTGGGAGGGACATGGACAGCCTCCAGTCCCAAGCAGATGATGCCCATGAATTTTTGGGCAAACTTCAATGTTTAAGATTAGATATCCAAGTTTCTGAAGAGAAATGTAGACAGATGCTGGATGATGAAGGGAGTCCTGATCTCATAGGGCTGAAACGTGAACTAGAGACCTTAAATAAGCAATGCATCAAATTGACTGAAAGGGGGAAAAGCCGCCTGGAGCAGGTGGATACCACGCTGGCTCGCGTCAAAGACTTTTACAACAAGCTGAAGGAGCTGAACTACATGACCACTATGGCAGAAGAGGGTGAAGCACTGCAGTGGGTAGTTGGGACTGAAGTGGATGTAATCAACCTGCAGCTGGCAGATTTCAAGGTAAGAGCATTTCCATCCTAAAGGTCTCCCTTGTTCATACTGTGTCCAGTCCCGATTGTGTCTGTGACTTTTCTCAGGGGCCTACCGTCTTCCTGGAGATTACCAGGATACATCAGTGACTGGGTGGTGAAATATGGCAGGAAAAAAAATGGCTTGTGGCTTGTCATTCGCCAGAGGTGAATTTGCCTTTCATATCAGTATTTACTTGGGTAGTTTTAGGAACATTGTCCCCTCAGGGCGCATTTGTTTAGAATACTTGTGTTTGCGTACTTTTATATTAAGTTTGATGTTTGACACATTCCATGTAATAAAAGGAAAATAATTTACATGTTTTTGTGAAAAATAGTTACACCAATACATGTTTTGAAGAGAGGCAAAACAGCATCACTTGCGGATGCTGTAATTTGTAATCCTGCTGGGTGGAGGATTGGGCTGGATGGCTTCAGAATCATTCCTTCTGACCCTTGGACTCTGATTTGAGTCAGATTCTGGTCCAGATTTCGGAGGCCTTTCTAGCTGCCTATAAGGAACCTTGGGACACAGGGATTCTAGGGGTTTCCTCGGGTTTTTCTAAGCGTTTCAACCTTTGTTTAGGCAAACCTTTCAGCCTATTTCTTTTTTTAAAATTCAAGGTTTTTTGTTTTTTAATACAAATTATACATATTGTAGGAACAAAGCATTGTCTGGATCTTTTCTTTTACACCTTCCTTACATAGTCCATTTTACATCATAGTTTTGTTTTCACTTTCAGCCAAATTATTCTCTTCCATTATTTTTCATCTTTATAGTTATTTTTTCTTAATAAACAATATCTTCTTCAATTGCCCCTTCAAAATTACACCAAATTTTCATTTCTAATTTTCTCCATTGGTATATTTTGCTATAAACAACATGTATCCTCTAATTCAATTTAAACATACAGAGTGTTTCTTTCAATTTTTTCTACAATTAACAATATACTATAGTTTCTTTATTCTTAATTAGTTACATAACAATACCAATCTTACTATATTATCTTTGGTGACTCTCTTTCCCTTTCTTCATCTTTTAATCATTTTCTCTTGGGCTCTCAAAATTCCACTTTTAATTCTTTTTCTTCTTCTCCCCCTTTCCCCTAACTTCTTTTTCTTTTTCCTATTTGTGTGGTCATTGTATCTTTTCTTCAGAATATTTACTTTTATTATTCTAATAACTTTCCCCAGGGTTTTCCCTGTTCTCCTGCTTTCCTTTCTATTTTCTGATTTCTTCCCCTTTGTCTGCTTTTTCTTTGTGACTGTAAATGCCAGGGAAATCTTCTATCTGCATTTTATTTTCAATTCTTCTTTCTTCCAAATTATCTTCCTGTACCTCATTTGTGCCCTCTTTTACCTCCTCTTCTCCCATTTCTTGTTCTGTATGTTCCTTTTGATTTTTTAGCTTTTTTTTAACCAATTAATGTTTCACACCCGCCTTTCAGCATCCCAAATAATTCATCATACATCCAAATCTCCATCATACAAGTTTAACTATTTTAATAGATTTTTTAAATTTTTGGGTTATATCACATTTAATTGCAAATTTAGGGTCTTCCAAGTTCTATTGCTCAATTTTAGAATTAATCCACTCTAGTCCAAGTTGAAGTTTTCTTTCTTTTCCACAGCTATAGATATTTGCAGTCAAACAATCTTACAAAAACAGATACTCCTTAACATTCTCACTGTTTCAAGGTATCTCTTTGTATAGCCAAGGGTCACAGCTGCACTCTCACTTCTTTTTCTTTTTCTCTCATTAGCTGCTGTAGTACTTTCTGCTGGCTGCTAGATGGCTCTTTCCAAACCGCAATACAATCCAACAGCTGACTGTCAATAGCTGTCAAAAGCACTTTAAGCCTACAAAAAATAAAATAAAATAAAATAAGGAGAAAAAGGACTTCCCCCAGGGCTCTTTCTTTGGTTAGTTAATTTCTTCACTTCCAAACTGCTGAAGAGAAAATCCTTTGAGGCTTTGGTGCTTTAACTTCCGCTGCCTCTTTTTTCTTCAATAAAATTCCCTGAGAGCCAGTTAGCCGCTAATTCTGCTCCGGGACCCTTTTTAAGATAAATCAGATTTTCTTCTTCTCTGTAAGTTGGTCAATCACTCACCTGGTTTTCACACTCTCTTCCGACACCACTCCTGCACAAACAGCTTGGTCCGGTTGCCCCAACATTAAAGCGGACATTTAAATATGGCCACTGTCCCCACTGTCAGTTTTGGAGAGCTTTCATCTGACCTACCGAGGAACTGCCGGTTCCTCTTGGTCATCTGAGATGCCTCCTCCTTCTTCCCTGTCCCTCCAAGACGGTTCCAATCCGAAGATCCCCTGACAGCAGTTTGTCTGGCTGACTTTTCACGAGCTCATCAGAGCTCCGCTATTTCTCAACAGGTGTTGTCGTAATGCTCTTGCCTTTTTCCACCCTCAGCCAACTTCATTCTGAGAAAACGCAAGGTGTTTTTTTAACTGGGCCTCTTTTGGTAACAGCCACCTTGGATTCTCTGTGCTATACAAGTACGGAAGTCTCCTCAAATGCTGAGCACAATTACATATCCATCCCAAATAAATGCATTTTTAAAAATACAGCTTAACTAATGCAACAGTGTCATTTCAGGAAATCCACTCCTCAAAATTTAGCGTGAAAATGATAGAATGTTGAATGAAACCCCAAAACTCTGGGTGGATTTTGAAGTTCCTCCCTGTATCTAAATAACTAAGTGGGAACACTGAGTTCATGAAATTTGGGGCACTGGGAAGAATTTTGAATGTAGATTTTCTTCATTTGTTATTGGGAAATATTCTGAGCTCTAGCTCAGCACTGCAGAGTCTAAGGAAATGTTGTCTTCCACCGAAATAAAGCAGAACCACATTTGAAAAAATGAAATTTCACTTTCAGGATGCACGTTTTCAAAGAATAAGGTTTGTGGGATTTTGATGGATAACAAGTAAAAGTCAGTGCTCAGGTATTTGCAAATCATATCATTGTTATGTAATTCAGCTGCAATTAAGCAAATCTGCCTTGTTGAAATGATGTTCTTGTGAATGGATATTAATTGGTTGACATAGTCTTGGAAGAATCAAGGCATAGATTGGTTCAAAGGTAGAGCCAAGGGCTCCCTTAATGGGACAGGAAAATCCAATTGGGAAAATCCCCCCCCCCCCCAAGGTTCACCAGCTTGGGTTGGCAGCTCTTTCCTATCCAGACAGAAAGAAGCAGCCCAGTGGGGAAGGAAGCAGTGAAGCAGGAGCTTCCATCGGCCCCTGGCTGAACGGGTGGAGGGACTTCAGCGGAAGCTTGGTTGGAGCTGAAAGTAGGTTGAGACAACAGGAGGGACAAATAAGGGTGGATTTTGCACCTGAGAGGGTTACGTGAGTGGACATCCTGAGCAGGACGGAGCATTTTCATGATTTGGGTTGGGAGGAGGAACTCAGTGGGGAAATGGGGTCATGGCTTGTGAAACTTAGGCTGTTGTGGTGGTGTTAAATCCAAATTCCTCTGTTGCTGTTTTAAAGGAAAACTTGTGTAGATTCAAACAAGCCTGGATGAAGGCACATTGGCTGCTGGTTTCACGGACCCTGTTTTGCAGGAGCTGCAGGGAAAATTGCATATTGTACAAGGAGGTGTTAGGAAGGTGGGGGGGAGGCCGTCTTGGAGGCAAGTTGCAGTTTTTTCAGAGCTATCAAAATAGTGAAATTCTCTGCCCTTGGCAATGGAGTAGGTGTTTGGTGGGCGGGCTGAGTAATGCACAGGCTTCCAGGATCTTCCCCCAGGCCCTCGGCTGCTCGTTTTCTCCAGCCCTGCAGAGGATCCCTGTGTTTATTCTACTTGTGGCCAACCTAGAGCAGGCAATTGGGTTTCTATCTCTTGGAGGCGTGAAGCGAACCCCACTTTTCTCAGGGGATGCGGCTTTGAATGGGATCCAGCTTTAAACTTCCAGGCGGAGCTTTTCAGAAATGTTCTTCACATGCAGTTTTTGGGACACGTGGCTCCCTTCTCTTCCAGCCAGCTGAGTGCTCTGGTCTGGGGAAAGGAGAGAGGCAGAGCTTGGGTGGAGCAGAGAGAGCAGAGGGGGTATGGGAAGCAGCAACTGGAACAAGTTGCACTTGGCGAGGAAGAGGGGAAATGGCTCCAAATGTTGGCTGGAGAAAAGCTCCTGCTTTGTCATCTACGGGCTACTGCAGCTGACATGAGTGCATTGCCTTCTGCTGAGGGTGTGATCAGGGTTTTGCTTAGTGCAGTGTGTGAACTCAGCTATTGTGGTCAGTAGCCCCTAGTTTATAGCTCAGTCTTATGGTTAGGACAAAATGACAGAAACATACAAAGATATGAAGCTTTTCCTTCAATTTTTCCCTGTTTGGAAGGATTCATTGGTCTTAATAACTATTTGGGGGATAATATGACATTTTCATTGTGCTTCTAAACTCAAAATGCCAGGGAATAATAGGATTTTAGTGTGCTTGGGCTGCACAGGAAGCTCCAGGCTACCATGCGGCCTTAGAGATGCAGGCTATGGACACACATCTCTCCTCTTCCTTTGCTAGCAGCCCCATTGGGGAGGGAAGCAGCTGCACCTCTTGCACTCGCCCCCCCCCTATTTTAAGAGTCAGAGCCCCGTTCTCCTCTTTGATGGTGTGTGGCTTCTACACCATCCCCACAGATTGCAACCCCACCAGAGAGGACCAATGCCAGCTAGAAATGCTCGGTGGAGGAAGCAGCAATTGTTTCCTGTTTGAGAGCTTGTCTTTGTTGCAAAAGAAAGAAGGTCCTGTTTGAAAGTCATTGGCAATTACGCTGACCCCAATCCCAGCCCCAGCCCTCTCCTCCTCAGGGCTCTTCAGCTGCATCCTTTGCCAGCTTTGTCTAAAAGTCAAAGAAACAAAGGCCAGTGGCTCGAAGCGGGATGAAAGGGAAGGCAGATTTTCCAGGTGGCTTCATTTAGCCAGAAAGCTTACAAACACCTGCCTGCTCTTGGCAGAACTGGAGCTGGGCAAACAATGGAGTCATTGAGTGGAGGCGGACATGAGGCAGGAGGAAGAAAGGGTTGATTCAGAGCTTCCTCCCCTCACCCGCCTATTACCTAGGCAGGCTCTGTGGTGGGCGGGGCAGATTTTATGAATAAATTACAATACAATAGCAGAGTCGGAAGGGACCTTGGAGGTCTTCTAGTCCAACCCCCTGCCTAGGCAGGAAACCCTATACCATTCCAGACAAATGGTTATCCAACATCTTCTTAAAGATTTCCAGTGTTGGGGCATTCACAACTTCTGGAGGCAAGCTGTTCCACTGATTAATTGTTCTAACTGTAAGGAAATTCCTCCTCAGTTCTAAGTTGCTTCTTTCCTTGATTAGTTTCCACCCATTGCTTCTTGTTCTATCCTCAGGTGCCTTGGAGAATAGTTTGACTCCCACTTCTTTATGGCAACCCCTGAGATATTGTAAGACTGCTATCATGTCTCCCCTAGTCCTTCTTTTTATTAAACTAGACATACCCAGTTCCTGCAACCGTTCTTCATATGTTTTAGTCTCCAGTCCCCTAATCATCTTTGTTGCTTTTCTCTGCACTCTTTCTAGAGTCTCCACATCTTTTTTACATTGTGGCGACCAAAACTGAATGCAGTATTCCAAGTGTGGCCTTACCAAGACCTTATAAAGTGGTATGAACACTTCACGTGATCTTGATTCTATCCCTCTGTTTCATTTTATTAGATAGTGCCCAATGTTGAAGTTTGTCAAGATCCTTTTGTGTCTTAAGCCTGTCTTCTGGAGTGAA